AAGAAGAAGAAGAAGAAAAAGAAGAACAAGAACAAGAACAAGAAGAAGAAGAAGAAGAAGAAGAAGAAGAAGAAGAAGAAGAAGAAGAAGAGGTCTAGTTCCCCCCTCCCCCCTCTCCCCCGCCCATTCTCTGTTTTTTCTCAATCTCTCCAGGGGCCAAAAGACTTTGCGAACGATCTGTGAGTGTCAGGCAGGGAGGCTGTTCAACTTCAACCTTAGGCTCTGGCCACACTGCGGCGGGTGGCGCTAGCCTGGTACTGGAGACTCGGCGATAAGTAAGGTGTAATTATATGTGTCACGAAGTGGTGGAATCAGGCTCTCGTCAATTTTTGGCATATGGAGTTATTGGTATCATAAGTCTGTTCACTTGTCTTGCTTTCGATGAAAAAACCCGTCCATTTATCTTGGTTACAAGTCAAGATATTGGCAATAGAAGGAGGTGAGGGTCGCCTGGTTTCAGGGGTAAAATTAGCAAAAATATGGCGGCCAAAGTTTAGTTGTTTCCTAAGCTTGAGAGTCCAAGGAAACCTAAAATTCACATGGACATGTTTTATACCTTAAATCAACTTTTTATTTCAATAGAAATCCACAGAAAAATGTGTTTTTTAAATGGGAATGGAAGGTGTTGAGCCAAACAACAAAAAGTCGATAAAAATTCGCCAACCTGCAGAAAAAATGCCAATTCCTTCACTTTCGTTATTTGGACGAGATCTTGATTTCACCACACTGCCTCACATAATATGTGATGCAGCGTGGTGGAATCAGGCTCTCGTCAATTTTTGGGCATGTAGAGTTATTGGTATCATCTTAAAGCTTGTTCACTCGTCTTATTTGGATGAAAAAAGTATCTATTTATCTTGAATACAAGTCGACATATTTGCGAATGAAGGAGGTGGGGGGTCGCCTGTTTTCAGAGTTAAAATTAGTGAGAATATGGCTGCCAAAGATTAGTTATTTCCTCAGCTTTAGAGTCCGTGGTAACTGAAAATTTACATTTTTTGTGCCTTTAATCAATGTTTTTCAGAAAAATCCTCACAGAAATGAGCTCTTTAACGGACATGAAAGGTGTGGAGACACAAAACTAAAATTTGATGAAAATTCACAAACCTGTGGAACAATGCAAGTTTCTTCTCTTTGATTAGTTTGACGAGAGCCTGATTTCGCCACGCTGCCTCACATAATATAGTGCCGGCCAGACCAAGGACGGTGGAGGTCCAGCCTCACGCTCCCCCAGTCCTGGCCACGCTGCAAGCAGAGCGGGCAGAGCAGAGCAGTGGAAATTAATCTGTCCCCGTGGTTTTATGCACCCCGCTTAATTTAGCAAAATTTGATCATTTTTTGCATAATTTCTGATTATTTTCCTTTGTCATTCTTTGTTAAAATTAACAGAATCGCATAATTTCACATTTTTTGGGTCCAGTTTGCACAATTTCTGAAGTTTTCTTGCAAAAAACGACGAGGACAGATTAATGCAAAAACAAAGAGGTGACGGGCGGTGCGATTCGAGGCGGGTCAGACCACCAGTCACCTCTTTGTCTTTGCATGAATCTTCACTGCTCTGCTTTGCCCTCTCTGCTTGCAGTGTGGCCAGAGCCTTAGCCGCTGTCCGCTCATTATTCAGAGTCTTCTGGACACACGAAAAGGCGGCCAGGGAGGGAGGGCTGGGGGGAGGGGGGGATTTCGTCTTGAGTCGAACAAAAAGGACAGCCATCAACTTTTGAATCATTTAGGAGCTCTGCCGATAGCATATCATATTTTTATTAAATGTTTGCTTCTGTTGTTTTTGTTGTTGTTGTTGTTATAGTTGTTGTTGTTGTTGTTGTTGTTGTTGTTGTTACTGCTGCTGCTGCTATTGTAGTTATTATTATTTTGTTGTTGATGCTGTTACTGTTGTTGTTGTTGTTGTTATTGTTGTTGTTGCTGTTGTTGTTGTCGTTGTAGTTGTTGTTGTTGCTGCTGTTGTTGTTGTTATTGTTACTTTTGTTGTTGTTGTTGTTGTTGTTGATGATGGTGATGATGATGATGATGATGATGATGATGATGATGATGATGATGATGATGATGATGATGATGATGATGATGATATTATCCATTGTCAAGCAAGACACAGCGTATAGCACCTGCAGTACCAATAGGCACCTCCCACCCAATGCTACTGACTGAAGTGTCTTTAGGTCATTCCCAAAGGGGGGATATTAACATGTTCTTATGCAC